GACTTCCGAAAGGAGAGAGTGTGAGTGAGTAAGGGCAGTATGCACTAACATCTCCGCCAGAGAGGGGATCGCGGCTCAAGAGAAAGCTTCATATCCTGAAGCTCTAGATATTTTGCATTTCACGCTTCCTGCCTATCAGTGAGTATTCTTACCACCTTTCACTAACATATTGAACGGAAGCGAGAAGTGTACAAGCTAAACTTTCCATCCTTTTGTACGGTCCCCTTGATCCCGGCGGCCGACCGTCTTTTCTTTAAAGTCATTTTTTTCTTAAAAGCTAATAAAAACATTTCAAGGTTGTACTGATTATCTAACCAATTGTGCTGTGCATATTGCTGATGAGAACAAATGAGTTTCTGAAATATCGGTTTTTCAAAGAAACTCCAATTTTCGACCTGTGGTTCATGGAAATTTCATGACTTTAAAACATCATTTGTTCTACAGCAACATGCTTAGCACTGTTGGGTCGGTCGCCAAGAATGATCAGGGGATCACACAAAAAGCTGGGATATGCGATTATATGATAATACTAGCTGGCTTACCCGGCTCCGCCGTATCCGGACCAAACTTGGCACACATACACTTCGGGCCCCGGCGGGTGTCACAGTCCACTTTTCGTTATCGATCGATGTCGATTTTACCGATTTTTATCGATTTTTTTGCAGAGTTCACCTACAGGGCTAGGAGTTGGCACAGGGGGGGAAGTGAGCATGGGGATTCCGAATACAATATTAGTTTTCAGAATTATCGATTACCTTTATTGGTTTTATCGATTTTTTGTAAATTTTGACATGCGAGGTTGGGATTTTGCACAGGGGGTAATCGAGCATGCTGATTACGAACACAATATTAGTTTTCAGGATCGTCCATTACTTTTATCGATTTTATCGATTTTTTTGTAAAGTTCGACCTGCGGGGCTGGGAGTTTGCACAGGGGGTAATCGAGCATGCAGATTACGAATACAGTATTAGTTTTCAAGATCGTCCATTACTTTTATCGATTTTATCGATTTTTTGAAAATTTGAGCTAGGGGGCTGGAATTTGGCACAGGGGTGTAATCGAGCATGCTGATCACCCCCCTTGGGGATGATCAGCATGCTCGATTACCCCACTGTGCCAACTCCCAGCCTCCTAGCTCAAACTTTGCAAAAAAATCGATAAAATCGATAAAAGTAATCGATAATCCCGAAAACCAATATTGTATTCGGAATCCCCATGCTCGATTACCCCCCTGTGCGAACTCCCAGCCCCGTAGCTCAAACTTTGCAAAAAAATCGATAAAATCGATAAAAGTAATCGATAATCCCGAAAACCAATATTGTATTCGGAATCCCCATGCTCGATTACCCCCCTGTGCGAACTCCCAGCCCCGTAGCTCAAACTTTGCAAAAAAATCGATAAAATCGATAAAAGTAATCGATAATCCTGAAAACCAATATTGTATTCGGAATCCCCATGCTCGATTACCCCCCTGTGCGAACTCCCAGCCCCGTAGCTCAAACTTTGCAAAAAAATCGATAAAATCGATAAAAGTAATCGATAATCCTGAAAACCAATATTGTATTCGGAATCCCCATGCTCGATTACCCCCCTGTGCCAACTCCCAGCCCCGTAGGTGAACTCAGCAAAAAAATCGATAAAAATCGATAAAATCGATATCGATCGATGACGAAAAGTAGCCTGTGACACCCGCCGGGGCCCGAAGTGTATGTGTGCCAAGTTTGGTTCGGATCGGTTCAGAAATGGAATTTTCTATTCGGAACATACGTACATACATACATACATACAGACATACAGACAAACAGACATTCAGCTTTATATATAAGATATTAGGTTGGCGAATAAATTCTGTTACACTTTTTTCGTAAAATTCTGGTAAGTTCCATAAGCTCTCTGGAGTCTTCACAGTTGCTCCATATATAGGCCACGGCAGTGCGTACACAACAGTATGACTGATGCCGCAAATGCACAATTGGCCAGCAACTTTACGACAACTTTATAAGCACACTCAAAATTGTCATTTTTTCTCTGATTTTTTTCTCTGCGTTTGATTGTGTTATTTCTCTCCCATAATTTTTTTAGAACATATTTTCGCATCGTCTCTTTTATGGTAGCACTTAGGTGCCGCTAGCACGCCAAAAAGAAGGGGTGAAAAACAACTCAAAAAATCAAAAAATTGTCGAAAATTTTTCCTTTCGTGTGCATCGTGTAGGATTTGGTACGCAAAGGTTGAAAATAATTTTTGCAAATTTTTAAAGATTTTCTTCATGTCAAAATGCCATTGTGCGCTGACATGACGCAACATGTAGCTCATGTGATCGTGTGCGGACATGACTGTGCCATCCCCCTATGTTCGCTAGAAACTATGGACCATACCCTGCCCGAATACCACATCGCCCGGTCTCTTCCCATTCACCTGAAAGAATGCCAGCACGCTGACAAAAATGTCCAAAAAATGTACTTCCACCACTAAAGTGGGTGTTTTGCGCACGAACCGCGGATCTGACAGTACCGGCGGGTAGACCTTTGCACCCCGCCAACACTCCTTAAACATAAGAATTTTTGAAAGTTTCTTAGATTTTTAAAAAATAAATATAAAAGTGTAACAGAAATTATCCGCCAACCTAATATTATATGATATTACTATACGATATGCGATTGTGATATATGATTGTACAGCTACTCATTCCTGTTTAATATGATTATAGTGAAGGATGGTGGGAATGCTTACGGATAGGCAGACAACACGAAATCCAGATATCTGGAGCTCTGGAGCTTACAAGAAGCTTTCTTTTAAGCTGCAATTCCCTCCCCGGCGGGGATGTTAATGCATGCGGTCTAAGAGTACCCCAGCTAGAGGTTGAGCATAAGTTGCCCCGCGGTATAGTAGCTGTTTTTTTTTGTCAAATTATCGTATATAGTAGCTCTTTTGGGGTCGACATGAGGCGCCGTAGTCGGTAAGAACTCCACAGAATCGCGAAAGTCTTGAGGGAAAAAACTGTGGTGCATGGTAGCCGAGCACAAAGCAAAGGGGTCACCGAGCTGAAATAGAAGATAGAGCTCTGTAATTAATCCCAGAAGTTTCGGTGCATAGGGTACGGGACATTAGGTCGCCAAAAGAGGCGGTCCCATGTGGACATTTGCAACAGAGAGCGCGTCTTCACCATTGCTGCATGCTATCTGTCCGCGAGAATGGAGCCTAATGATGACCTGATGTCCTCTACCCCGGTAGATAACGCTGTAGACTAGTTGACAATGGAAACCCAACAATGGAAGACCTGAATTATATTTATACTCTGCGTGCAGAATTCAGAACGCTTCTTTGTGATATTGTTAGCATTCCCTAAATGACTAATGTCTGAAGATTTGTCATCATTGCCTTACTGTTTTAATAGTCGATTTCCGCCGCGATAAAGCATTGCTTGGCGCACCAAACATATGAAAAGATTATGAAAAGACTACGATCTATGTAGAGTCACACTTAAACATCATAACCCTCAAAAAATGCGCGTCAATCGGATCCACTTGGCTTTTCGCCAGTAGAATTGAGCATGTAGCACAACTTTTTGCAAAGTCACGAATATGTTTGACAAGTTATTGTGCAAGCCATAGACTTTAGCCTAAAAATTTGAACTAAAGTTTATTAGTTTGCGAAAACGGCGCCAAAAAGAATGGTTGCGTAAATGTTCAATTTGCCGAGAATTTACCCGATCATTTAAAAAGACTTTTGCACAGAGATGTAGCCCATGGTGATTTTTGCATCTTATAGCGGATACCAAGTCAAGAAAAGTCCGACCGATTAGAATTTGCATTTGTTCTTTTGGGAAAAGTTTCTTTCACGCGAAATTACCGAATTTATGTGGAACAGCTTTTGGAATGAATAGCTGTTTACAAATTATTCGTGATAGTCCGCATAGCGCGGTAAGTTTCAACGTCATTATTGTGCGGGAATGAGTAAGCCGTACAAATAGTAAGACTAGTGCTAGCCTCTGCGAAGCAGAGGTGACGCACTGGTGAATAAACGGAATTATGGCATGCACAAAAAATTTGGTGAAAAAATGCATATCAGTACAAAAAAGATTTCAAAAAAGTAACTCAATCATTAAAAAATACGATTACACAGGTTTCAGCATATCCTTTGATGGAAATACGCGCTCACCTTTTCCAATGTATAAGAAATAGTACGGCAGAAATACCCAGAAAAATAGGAAACTCTCTCAGCGCCCTGACTTTTGGGCGCTTATCAGCTGTTGGTATCGATTGCATTTGGCGTGCATTGAACCTAGTACTGTGTGTCTACGGTCCTTGCGCACAGGACGAACACGGCGTACACGACCCTCAGTCAGTTGCGCCTTCCTGCGTCTCCACGCTGGGCCCACTATTTTCATTTCTTTGCCTCTCAATTGATGACGTTCACGACGTGCTCGTTTTCTGCGCACAAGGACGAGCACTACTACAGTCCCGACGTCTCGTGATTTCGCCGCGCAGGAAGTGATAAGAGATAGGCGCGCCACGTACCGCGGCCAAAACGACACATACTAGGTACGTGCGATGTTTCACCGTCGCGACCATCACGACGGGGGGATTACTAGGGGCCCAGATTTCTTATAGAGATTATGCTGAAACTTGTCATATAATAACATAATAACATCATATAAATCCTGTGGTTTCGTGCACGCATCGCCTATCAGCCAATCAACTTCGTCCACGTCCTTCGGAGTCCGTACATAATGTAGTTCCATAGCAGTTGGCCCATGCAAATTCTAAGAAAAAGCACATTAGAAGATTTCAAACGAGTTCTATTTATACGCCTCATTCCCAATAAATAAACTGATGCAGTGACATTTGGAAGAGGCAAGACTGCGTGCAGAGTTAGCTCTGCCAGTACCGCCTTAGCGCTGTGTCGTGACGGAAATCAAACAATAGCTTGCCTGCACGGTAGGTTCCGGCACGGCTCTGGCATAGCGCTGGCACAGCACCGGCATACAAGCAACTCTGGATGCAGCTTAATCAATGTTATCACGTACAAGCTTATATAAATGAGTACCATAAATCACGCTACGGTTCATTATATCATACATCAATCTTTCTAACGGTGATTGTTAAATTCCGTCCTCTGAAAAAGCTTGACCGTCTCCCATTCCAGGCCATTTTGCCCATCTTACATGAAGCTTCTCATTTTGTCAGTGTTCTTTCCGCTACTCACGGCATGGACCGACCTCGATGAATTGGATTCAGACTGTAAAGATCTATGTTATAACCTTCTCGTCGATCTCAGAGATTTCATAACAGCAGGTGAAAATGAAGACCTAGCAAAGGTTAGCAACACATCACCTTTGCTGCGTATAGAGTGCCTGTGTACCGGGACTGTGCCAGCTCGTGCCGAGACCCACGTGCGCGCGTCCTGTAAAAATCGCAGAATGTCCACGCACGGCACCAGCGCGGGCTGGCATAGCACAAGCAGGGGGCAGTTTTGGATGCAGCGTTTGCACTAAACTTGAGCTTTTTTCTAGAAGCTGCAAGTTAATTGCGAAAATAGAATGTTTGATGTATTGGATCATAGTATAATTGTTAGAAGGTGTTCGGATTTCTGCAAAAAAACTGCGCCAGTAATTGCAGGGGATAAAGAGCTCAAGGAGCAACTCAAAGTGGGTTTCACATTGAATAAGGATTCATTAATCATTTCTGATTACTTTTAGAGCACGGATTGGAAGAAGACAGTCAGTGTTTACTGCAAGGAGTATGCTTGCAAACCATGCCCAAAACTCCCGCTTTACATGTCCTTAATGAAGAATAAAACCTTTTGAAGATCGCTATGTCAGAGATGAATATTGTACATAACTTCTGTCATGCCTGGTCAGAAAAAAATGATTTTTTCTTCTTTACTTCTTTGTCTATGTAGATGCTTATCTTAAAGGAGATTTGATGGATTCTTCCCAATCAATAGGAAGTTATGCAAATTGAAATAAGTTCTTATGGAACAACGAGACGGTCGCCCTAGACCTCGGACAGAGTTTGCGCGATTTGATAGCCGCGATTCAATAGCTACAGACAAGTGTTACGAGTTGATTGCATGCCGATCTTCTTGTATTTCGGTTGTGATAGTTAGTCATGATTAGTCGTGTTGGGAAACTATCACAACCGAAGTGCAAGAAGATCGGCATGCAATAAACTCCTAACATTTGTCTGTAGCGATTGAATCGCGACGATCAAATCGCGTGAACTCTGTCCGAGGCCTTAAGCTTCAAATAAATTTTGAGCATATCGAAAACCTGTCGAAAAAAATGGAAGTTAACATTCAAAAAAAACCTGAAAAAGGCGATATTCTCGAATTTCTGGCCCAAATTCTATTTCAATTCCCAGTTACGAGAAAAATACGACAAGTGTACATATGAAGATCTACTGTGTTTAACATATGTTTGACCAACTTGGAGTTCGCAGGGTCTTTTTAGACGGAAATCTAATTTTTGGGTCAAAATTTCCCAAATTTTTCCTCAGATTTCATGCAGATCGAAGCTTTTGCGATTGCTCAAACACTATCTTATAGAGCTTGCTTTGCTCTATCGAATAATGTGTTTCAGACTTTTTTTACATCTCCTTTGCCGCTTCAGAATATGGAACATGCATTAACTTTGCATCAACTTGATATTTACACACATTTGATTTTCATGATGATGTGCGATAACACAGCAAAGGCAAAGTGTCAGTCCAACTACTCACTCAGTCAAATCTTTCAAAAGCATAGCTTCTTTCAGACAGTTCTCACTTACGTCAGACCACCTATTATTGCTCACCATTGTGGTCTCCCCGAACCTTGATAAAAGACATAAGAAAATTCAAAAACCTTTCGCTCATAGAATTTTTGTTTGAAAGGGTAATTATATTTAGCTTATCTTATCTTGCTAAGCTTAAAAAACGCCAGGAGCTAACTTCAAAAAATAGATGTTTGCAGACTTGGTGTTTATGCACAAACACAACGAGTGAGCTTGACCTCGATCTATACGGTATTTTCGAACACACAGCATTATGTAATATTTCCTTATTCTCGATTATCCGAGATCGCATAATCTATTGGCCACTAGAGACTTAGATTTTTTCGAATTTTTTGTTCTCTTTTTTTGCTCGCTTCATATTGCGTCTATTATGTTGTGCTCAATTCTGAATATGATTTTTGATTTTCAACTACTCATTGTTAGTCCACTTTGCTCAAAATGTGCGTATTATAAGTTCTAGATACCTACTTATTTGTTGAATTGAACCGAAGTAATGCCGCTTTGATTATGAAAAACTCGAAATTGCTCTCTATGTGAGCGTATTTGCTTACAAAATATCGTCTGAAAGAAAAATTCATTTAGTTTCTAATTATTAGCTTGTCCCAAAGGTTTTGTCGGTTTTTTCTCGCCCACTAAAACCCACAGAACATCAATCCATAGACGATCTAGGTACCATTTAATTCATAATTTTATCCTTCTTCTTACAGCTATATTTGCTCTTTGATCTACTCTGTCTTTCCGATGTTATCACCATTCTTTTTGAACAGCACAACAATAATGTCAATTTTTTCCTGAATTTTGAAAAATTTTATTCTGCTATTTTTAAAGAACGCCAATAACTGTTATGTAGAGCACCTTGGCTGCATTGTGCTTATTTTAGATTACATGGGCCACGTTTACCAAGTCCGTTATAATTATTTATTTAATAGCAGCGTCCAGGCAAGTCTGGACAGATGGGTATCTCACTTGGATAGTAATCAGGGGCCCTAACTTAGCCACTGCCCAACCGGCAGCTCGGTTAGTGCTCTAACGGCTGAGATATTCCCCTCGAAACTGGCCGCTTGGGCAGTGCCTTAGTTAGGGCCCCAAAACTATTTACCACGTAAAATCCCTATAGGTCCTGATCTGCCTGGACGCTGCCTTCAATAAAAAACCGCGGCTTTTTGACTAGGTTTTTCACGGTTTCACGTGATACCGAGAATTCCAAAAAGCTGCTTTTCCAAATCAAACTTAGCTACCCTCAACGTCAATCCCTAAGTTACATTTGCAAAGTGAAGTGTTGTGGTGCGGCCGCCTCGCTTTGGGCTAGCGCCACCTTGCGAGCGCATGAGTTGGCATGGCGTGGCAACAGGAGCAACGATGAAACGTTGATCTTGTTGCCACGTTTGGACGTGTTGTGGCGCCACGTTGTTTTTAGCGCCACATCACGTTTAAACGATGCCCAACAACGTGGCGCAGCGCAAAGCGAGGCGGCTGCATCACACCACTCCACTTTGCAAATGTAACTTAGGGATTGACGTCGAGGTTATGTTGCATAAATAATATTTAATAAGAATCACGTTCTAATTCGCAAAAACTTTAAAAGCTTTCGTGTATTTACTGCGTTGAGTGTTTCATGACTTCGCCAAAAATCGAGACCTCCGAAATAGCAGCTGATAATGCTGACCTTTCTATCGACGAAGCGACTAACGATTGGTGTACAAAACTCACGCCTGCGATGTTTCGTATTGGTACTTTCCCCCTAACATGATAAGAGTTACCATTTTTCCTTTGGGGGTAGTCGAGGTTCTGTTCCTTGAATCTTGTAGTGCAATTACAATCATATCCGCAACGCTAAATCCGAAAATCCACATTAAAAGGCGCGAGAACGGGGAGAACATGCGTTTTCCGAAGCCTTAGGGATCGGCCATACTATTCCTGCTATTCCTGCGATTCCTGTGAGTCCCGCACAGTTTAGACGCCGCTTAAATGAGCGCGTGTTGCGTGAAACAACACGTAACACGCAACATGCGCTCATTTAAGCGGCGTATAAACTGTGCGGGACTCACAGGAATCGCAGGAATCGTAGGAATAGCAGGAATAGTATGGCCGATCCCTTAGAATTCGTGGTTCGACGGTCCTCGCCAAGGCTGACACGCAGAATCGTTGCAAGACCCTGCAATTTCAACTGTGCGGCATGCGTACTCTGCCGCAGAGAGGAACTCAAAGGGGAGGACGAAGTCCCAAGGCGTAAGTTTCCCCATTTCCAATAGTTTTTCTTGCTTTAGGTTGGACGTTATAACCTCTTACCTGCGCGATACTGTGTCTGATTTTGAGAGGGGCCATCCTTGCATGACACTGAGATCCCAGAACCTCCACCTTTTCCGGACACTGTCTTTATGCACGAGGAACTCTTGGACTGAAGCTAACATGAGGGGTCCGATCAGTCGAAGTGGCCTTTCCAAATGATTCCTATACCACTTTGAAGAGCATCAAACGGTAATTCGAAGTCTGATTTTAGTATGTGCCGAGCGCCTCTGAATGCCGAGTTATGAATACTACCTTCGTGCGAAAAATGACGCATAATCTAAGTAAAATCAAACTTTATGATTTTTAAGCTCTCGAACAGAACAATGTTAAGTATGAGTGTTTTGGACAGAAGGTATTCCTCAAGGAATTTGAGCAATTCTAACGGATTTTGTACCATTATGCCTCCAATACTTCAATTCAAAAAACGCTCATAACTCGACGTCTAAATAACGAAGACAGACTTGGAATCAGCTTTCGATGCTCTTTGTATTCGTATCAATCTCATGTGAAAAGGCCACTTCGACCAAACAGACATTCGTTCTAAGGTCCCTGTGTTGTATGTGCATAATCAAAAACAGCCTCCGTATCTTGTCTCCATTTTTTATCCATGAGATCAATGGACGTCTCGCTCATGCGACTGAGTTTTCCTCGCCTCTCACCGGTCGCAAAGCTTGACGTCCCAAGCGGCAGAAGAACACGTTGCGGAGGGTACTGGGGCTACTGTTTTAAAGTTATAAAGCTTGAATTTTCGCCATACCTTAGATAGCCGGGCTGGAGCGTTCTAAGGCTGTGGCGGCTCAGGCAGCGGATAGGACCCCTCCGCCGGAGAAATGGCAGGGTCGCGGCGTTTCCCCAGCGGTGGGTCTCCCATTTGTCCGGCGGAGACCTCCCATTTCTGCTCCGGATACCCCCCATTTTCTGCTCCGGATACCTCCCATTTTCTGCTCCGGATACCTCCCATTTTCTGCTCCGGATACCTCCCATTTCTGCTCCGGATACCTCCCACTTTCTGCTCCGGATACCTCCCATTTTCTGCTCCGGATACCTCCCACTTTCTGCTCCGGATACCTCCCATTTCTGCTCCGGATACCCCCCATTTTCTGCTCCGGATACCTCCCATTTTCTGCTCCGGATACCTCCCATTTTCTGCTCCGGATACCTCCCATTTCTGCTCCGGATACCTCCCACTTTCTGCTCCGGATACCTCCCATTTTCTGCTCCGGATACCTCCCATTTTCTGCTCCGGATACCTCCCACTTTCTGCTCCGGATACCTCCCATTTCTGCTCCGGATACCTCCCATTTTCTGCTCCGGATACCTCCCATTTTCTGCTCCGGATACCTCCCATTTTCTGCTCCGGATACCTCCCACTTTCTGCTCCGGATACCTCCCATTTCTGCTCCGGATACCTCCCATTTTCTGCTCCGGATACCTCCCACTTTCTGCTCCGGATACCTCCCATTTTCTGCTCCGGATACCTCCCATTTTCTGCTCCGGATACCTCCCATTTTCTGCTCCGGAGACCTCCCATTTCTGCTCCGGATACCTCCCATTTTCTGCTCCGGATACCTCCCATTTTCTGCTCCGGATACCTCCCACTTTCTGCTCCGGATACCTCCCACTTTCTGCTCCGGATACCTCCCACTTTCTGCTCCGGATACCTCCCATTTTCTGCTCCGGATACCTCCCATTTTCTGCTCCGGATACCCCCCATTTTCTGCTCCGGATACCTCCCATTTTCTGCTCCGGAGACCTCCCATTTCTGCTCCGGATACCTCCCATTTTCTGCTCCGGATACCTCCCATTTTCTGCTCCGGATACCTCCCACTTTCTGCTCCGGATACCTCCCACTTTCTGCTCCGGATACCTCCCACTTTCTGCTCCGGATACCTCCCATTTTCTGCTCCGGATACCTCCCACTTTCTGCTCCGGATACCTCCCATTTCTGCTCCGGATACCTCCCATTTTCTGCTCCGGATACCTCCCATTTCTGCTCCGGATACCTCCCACTTTCTGCTCCGGATACCTCCCATTTTCTGCTCCGGATACCTCCCATTTTCTGCTCCGGATACCTCCCACTTTCTGCTCCGGATACCTCCCATTTCTGCTCCGGATACCTCCCATTTTCTGCTCCGGATACCTCCCACTTTCTGCTCCGGATACCTCCCATTTTCTGCTCCGGATACCCCCCATTTTCTGCTCCGGATACCTCCCATTTTCTGCTCCGGAGACCTCCCATTTCTGCTCCGGATACCTCCCATTTTCTGCTCCGGATACCTCCCATTTTCTGCTCCGGATACCTCCCACTTTCTGCTCCGGATACCTCCCACTTTCTGCTCCGGATACCTCCCATTTTCTGCTCCGGATACCTCCCATTTTCTGCTCCGGATACCTCCCATTTCTGCTCCGGATACCTCCCATTTTCTGCTCCGGATACCTCCCATTTTCTGCTCCGGATACCTCCCATTTTCTGCTCCGGATACCTCCCATTTCTGCTCCGGATACCTCCCATTTCTGCTCCGGATACCTCCCATTTTCTGCTCCGGAGACCTCCCATTTTCTGCTCCGGATACCTCCCATTTTCTGCTCCGGATACCTCCCATTTCTGCTCCGGATACCTCCCATTTTCTGCTCCGGATACCTCCCATTTTCTGCTCCGGATACCTCCCATTTTCTGCTCCGGAGGCCTCCCATTTCTGCTCCGGACCCCTCCCATTTTCTCCGGCGCGGCTCTCCCAAATTTGGCGGACACGCGCCGCGCCAAATTTCTACGGCGCGGAGTCCGCCAAATCTGGCAGAGTCGCGCCGGAGAAATGGCGGACCTTTGCAGTAGGGCCGGAGAAGCCTCCCATTTGCCTGCCAGTGATGTCACCGCGATGGACCGCCCATTTGCCCTTCTCTCATTGGTCAACTGGGTCCGGCGCGACTCTGGCAGTTTCGGAGGGTCCGGCGGAGGGGTCCCGTCGATTGTCTGAGGGAGCAGTCGCCGCTTTTTGAATTACACTACGGTTTTCTGCCTAGTGACGACTTCAGCTCGCATTATCAGGTAAGTGACAACGAAATCTGACAAGATGACTTAGTGTGGTCTGCTTTGGCTGGGCTAGCTCTTCGTTCGAACCATCTTACTACACTGAGGGGGCACCCTTCGCCACGTTGTGACCGCAAAGCATGAGGGGGATTTTATGATAGCTGAACTGAATCAAGGAAATGGAATGAGATATCGATTTGGCGTTCAGATTTAGAATTTTCAAACAAACATTCAAATGACTAAAAGCGATTGATAATGAATTCATTAGTGTATGGTTGTGATCAGACAAACTGAAAGAACTAATTTGTTTTGATAAGACATTGACATAACGAGAAAGAGTGCTTGCAAATACTCTGAGGAAAGGAGCTTTGGCAAGAACTTCACATCGTAACCCAGTCAATGAACGAAAGGAAACATGAACCAAAAATGAGTAAAAGTAGACCTAAGAGCTCACTGATTAGACTGAATGCATTGGAAAAGAGAAAAGGCAGAATTTGGTTCCACCCTATCTCCTACGATACAGAAATGAAAGAGCTTAGTAGATTTATTTTCATGTCTTGTCAGTTCTAATGTAAACTTAATGTCTGACCAGATCCTTGTACATCTACAAAGGTACATTCAAAAGAACTCAATCAGAAACATTCTTTTGACGTATTCTATTCTTCCCATACAATAGACTCGTAATGTGACATATGGTTTGGTCTTTCAATGTTCCAACAGGTTTTCAAATGATATGCACTCATATACGAGCAACGAAAACAACTGTATAGTTTATTTGTCCTTCGCTGTTTCTATCAAGCGGTAAATGCGCCTGCTTTTCTTAAGCAAATTGAAGAGTTTTCTTGTTCAGGTTATCTCCTCAGACAAGGATGTATTCTTTGATAATAGCGACGTTCTTCTCATACATTCTCCTAATAACAGCTCAGCCACAGAAAGACTGCAAATGGCTTTGTCATGGACTTCTAACTGATCTTCAAGACTATGAAGGAGATCCAAATAAATTAGCAGAGGTTGGTGCCCCATTTTTTCTGAAAAAAATTTCGCTTCAGAAAATTTATTATTTTGCAGACTCTCATGGATACTTGCGAGAATGATGTAAAATTTGGGCTAATCGCTAACGATCCTATTGATACGGAATGCCCGGATTTTTGTAAGAAGTTCATACCAATAATCGTGAAAGACAAACAGCTCAGGGAAGATCTTGCTAATGTAAGTGATTGAAGATTCATAGGCCTCAAAATTTACCCCGACCTAGGCTACGGATTCTATGGGAGCAATATTGGGATTTTGCGACAAGTACGACTATGGAGCTGTGAGGAAGGCACCTTAAAATCGCTTTGAACTGCCTTGTCAATTTCAATCAAGATAAATATTGTGTAGATGATTTCGTGATGTAACAAGGTACAGATAGATTGGTTGAAGAAAAGGCCGGCGGAGAGGCCTGCTTCTTTAGGCATTTCTTAAATTCTTATGGGTTTCTTTGTTTCAAAAAGATGCCATTGACTTTCCGACGAGTTTCAGTTGATGTTATTATGTTAGGATGATCTATAAGTCTTGCACCAGAAAATAAAAAATCCTCCAAAATAAGCTTGAAAAGCGTTTAAATTTATATATGCATTTTTTGTAATGCATAACGAATACTTCGTCTTATTATGCATAAAAAGTTTACGAGGAACGAAACCAAAAAGGCGATCAAAGATACTTTGAATCGTAAATGTTTTTTTTCTTATATGAAGAGAGTAGGTTGCCACAAACAAAAGTAAGTCTGAATTTTGTCGGAACTTTTAGCATTTTTAGCGTCCAAAGCTCAAGAAAAAACGATTCTGTTTCAACTTATCTGCATATGACTCCATGATATATGGCCAATAATTTTTACTTGAAACATATTAAGAAAGAAATTAATTGAATCCGTTGAAAAGAAGTTACGATTTTTCATAAGTTTGGTGCAGAGACTTATGGGCCAATCTATTGAAAGACTATGCAAACGACGGCTCCCCCTATAATTTCTATACTTTAAACCATTTTCAAAGTTCTTATTGTAATCCTGCAATAATGATGAACGACTGTTAAGAAATACGATAAATCTGAGGTGAAAATAGCCAGAACTGTTAAGTTGAAGTGATGACTTTATTTGAATACCATGTTTGTCTAATAACCAGTGGTATGTTTGCTGCAAAAACTGCCCATGCTCAACAAAAAAAATGGCAGCTCAAAATCACCCTCCTTCTCATTTCTCTATTCCGATAAGCCCTGAAAATGCCTCTTTTGAGATTTTGAGAATTCGCTCCGTGCTTTGTATAAGCTTGGTAGCTGTCACTCATCATAACGAATGGGGCGAACAGGGACGGAAGAGAGGAGGAGGCCACAACCTCACGAGGGAAGTACTTTCAATGGCCGTGGCCTTTCAATATGAGATGCATATCATTTGATGCAGCTTCGGACGCTGATTTTGAATCTACTTTCCGTTTCTGCGGAGCGCTTTCCTGAAGAGAGTTATAGAAGCCTAAAAATCCTATTTTGTGGGCGCTCCTTGAGTTTGAGAGCGCTGCTATGTGCGTTGGGTGCGGTGGCGTAATGGTTAGTTGTTGGAATTAAAAGAGAGAGGTCGATGCATAGTTGCGATAGGGGGAGTGATGGATCTTACCCCCTTCACTTTGAGGCCAAACTCCCGATGACCCCCTTCACCTGGGCTGAGATTGGTATTGTACTCTGAGAATATGATAAAAATCGTTATTAAAAGGTTTTGCAGGCTAAGTACCTCAAACAACAAGTACAGTCATAAATTTACAAAAGAAACGGTACTTATGTTTATTTACATTATTTATTTATCCCCGTAGCATTCATTTGGAGAGCAGAAAGTGAGGACAAAAAAGCAGGTGGTTTTTGGAGTACATAAAATCCCTCATATCTCGCGGCACAGAAGACCTAGAAAAAAGTCGACGGTCTACATCGATTCTCCATGATCTCAGCTTTCGAATGGTGTACAGCATGTTAGGGCTTCTTTGCTTCCCGGCTCTAAAAATCATTTGCTCCGGTAACCGATAAAAGCCAATACATTGATGGAGCTGGGTGGAGCAAGCTAATAGTAAATATCTTCACCCCATTTTTGAAAACTGGTTAGTTTTTTCGCCCAGCAACCTGTATACCATTCGAAAGCTCAGGAAAAGGGGATTCGACCTAGACCGTCGACTTCTTTCTAGCCCCCCTCTACCAAGAGATACACCCCTTTTTTCTAAAAACATGGTCATTTTCAACAGCAGATTCCTGTCAAATGAAGACCTAATAACTGCTGATTATCTATCTGTGTTAAAGAGCAAGTCTTCATTAACAAACGTAGACCGTCGCCTTTCTCGTAGAATTCATTTGGAGAGCAAAAAGTGAGGACACAAAATCAGTTAATTTTTTGAAGCACATAAAATCCCTCATATCTCGCGGCACAGAAGACCTAGAAGAAAGTCGACGGTCTATGCCGATTCTCCATGATCTCAGCTTTCGAATGGTATACAGCATGTTAGGGCTTCTTTGCTTCCCGGCTCTAAAAATCATTTGCTCCGGTAACCGATAAAAGCCAATACATTGTAAGAGCGAGGTGGAGCAAGCTGATAGCAAAAATGTGCTGTGGATTGACATCGTTATCAGCACTAACGGGAACGCGAGCAAGCGCGTCTATTTAAGCGTGCTCATCGTTGTTATATGTTTATGTTTTTTTTTAAGAAATGCGCTTTTGATTGACAGTTGTGCCATCATTATCAGCACATACTCAAAGAACCATGGGATATTGGTGAGTTTCCACACCTTCACACAAAACCCGCCCATTTCTGGAATCTATACTCTGTAAAACTAGTGCTGAAGAAGGTCACGTTCGTGAAAGCGCTCTAGACTCACCTAATTGTAGAGAATGGTTGGTTTCAATAAATCAAAAACTTTGAGGCATTCAGAAGAACAACACGTTATTAAAATATCCTTCAATGTTTTGGAAAGGTTGTCAGTTTGAAGAAGAAGCGGCAGGCAGAATACTTTACAAAATCGCAGATGACTCGCATGTGTTCCAGTTCAACAGCGAGGCAGAAGGAGAATCTTACGCCGACGAATATGTTGTCGACATTGATACAGAGTTGACATTTGAGCGAAACTCTCTTTTCGTACATCAGAAATCCAAGCAGATTGCCTAGTCCCAATGAGGAAATGTCCAAGAAGTCCATTGCGATCTTCAGATTGCTGAAGATTTCAAGGCTGCTAAATTCACGAACATTGATATGAACAAAAGGAAGGTGTTAGTACAAAGCATAGCTACTGCTCTTAGATCCCGACTGGAGTGCGAACCCAACTCTGTGCTTTATGCTTTTGGAAGTTATTCGCTTTGTGACATTATGACCTATGATATTGAAAAAAAACCAACGAGCAGCATAGTATCTACTTTTTTTGGCTATTCCGCAGATGCTGTTAGAGAAGAAGTTGAGCAGCTTTATCAGCTAACAGGACTTATGCCAGAGGAGGTGAAGCCAGAGTTCGACAAGGCCCAAAAAAGTATGCAATATTTCCTTCCCGTGTTGCGAAAACATATGTGATCTGGCTCTTTCCCCATTACTTACCGCAAAAATCTGATGGACTTACTAGCAAAGCTAGTTTCCATTCCGACTAGCACTGCAGAGGTGGAAAGAGGATTTTCTATCTACTCTGTTATCAGAACACAACGCAGAAGTCGCACAACGGTGGAGCATCTAAGCAATTACTTAAGGTTTGTCAACCTTCTACTAAACATATTGTTATCTAAAAAGTTCGTTCAAAGGATTGCTATAAGTGGTCCAGACGGGATGACACCGTACTACTTCTTGAAATATCCTAAAAGATGGTATGAAGAAACTGGTCCCTACCTGCTGACTTTCCTGGTGCTACCAGAGGGCCAGGAAAAAAACACAAAAGCGCTTAGAAGGAGAAAAACGTTTCAAATCCATTTTCGACTCAGAACGCTTTTTGACGCACTTCTACTTCTACTCCGATGATCTTTTGACAGAAGAAGAAGATCTTTCAGGCAGCAAATTTGTTGTCTCTGACGTTAGCGATAGTGATATTGTTGATGATGACGTGCAGGAATTGTAAGTTGTTCCTAACTTGTACATCTTTTGGGATACCTTAATGCTTTCGTTTTTTGTCGATGCAGTGAAATAGGAGTACAGATCTTCATAAAGTCAATTTTTTTGATTTATTAGGTTGAACCGAAAATTCTTCCGCACCAAATTCAAAAATTCATAACTTCTGAATTTTCCAGCCTACTCAGATAACCGCCGGGGGCAGGCGGCCATGCGAATTTTGAGCAAGCGCGCACCGGAAAAATAGTTTGTTGATTTTTTGCGGCCCGCTTGCAGAAATTTGGAAGAAAGTTGGCGGAATTAAAGATGAATGCTTGAAGAACAGTCGCGATTTCTTTATGGATTAGCTGCGGCGCAGTGGCCGCATTCTCGCGGACTTTCCGCGAGAATATGCAAAAATTTCGAGGGCCGCACGGTCCTTTGTGGAGGACCGCGCAATCCCCAGGTACTTTCCGCTGAGAGAAAGTACCTCAAACTTGAGTAATTAAACCGACAGTGACATCTCTGCCACACAGAGTCTTACCTGCGCTCGGTCCGAGCGCTTGCTGAAAGTTTGACCAGCGCTCGCTGAAAGAAATTATTCGCCGAGCGCTTGCAAAAAATGCTGTATTGCTGCCCGCTGGCAGAGTATGCGACCGTAAAGGAAGTGCCGCCCGCTGAAGGTTTGGCCACGCCCCAAAATTCTGCTGACCGCTTGCAGAAAAGCGCGAGTTTGAGGACCGCCTGCCCCCGGCGATTATCTGAGTATTGGAACGCTCTTATTTTTTTCTGAAAGAGTAAGTCATGCTCTTTATAACGAATTCTTAGATGCTTGCTAATGATCTGCTGCGTAGATAGGAGCTGTAGAAGAAAATTAGTCAAAATTCGAATTTTCTGTGTAGGGTCATAGAAAATCGAAAACTTGCAATAAAAATCGGGGCAGTCGGTATTGTAGGTACTTTCACTAGCTCTTTTCTAACAGTGCAAAGTTTGCGCCGGTTGAGCGTCTCTATGAAAAATTGTAATTTCCCTGAAAAATGCCAAAATAAACCAAAATCATCCTTTTGTACTGCTTGCTCGAAAATCGTAACTTTTCATAGAGACGTTCAATCGGCGCAAACTTTGCACAGTTAGAAAGAGCTGGTGAAAAAACCTACAATACCGACTGCTCCGATTTTTGTTGCAAGTTTCCGATTTTTTATGACCCTACACAGAAAATTCAGTCTTTGACCAATTTTATTCTACCGCTCCTATCTGTGCA